TCTATCTATCTATCTATATATATATATATATATATATATGGATAGGTATGCATAGATATAGAAATAACGATAGAGAGAGATAGATATCTAGATATAGATATACGTGTATGTATGTATGTTTATACAGATATCAAACAGATATATATATATATCTTTTTTTTCCCCGGAAAAAAGAGAAAAACAAACAAACAAACAAAAAAAAAAAGAAAAGCGCAAAAAAAAAGAGGAGTTCGTAAGTAAAAAAAAAAAAAAAGAAAACCCATCAAAAAAAAAAAAAAAACCCTATTTTCTCTAATGCCCAGAGCTCTTCTTTCTCACTAAAGAGATATATCTATCCATAGAGACAGAGAGATATATAGATAGATAGATGAAAAGAAAAGAACCAAACTGCAAGAAACCCAAATCCACACACACACACAAAAAAAAAAAGAATGAACTCTACGAACACCCAAAGAAATGTGTGTTCCTTTTCTTTTCTTTTTTTTTTTCTAAATTCTTCTCATTTACACTTGGAAAGTGAAGAAGAATAAGTAGAAATAAAAAAAGAGATAATAAATGAGTACAGGACTTTCAACGAAAAGAAAAGAAAAGAAAAGAGATAATCTTGGTTACCTCGAATCCTAACTATAACTCCCCTAGAGTCTAGTCGCAATAATAATAATAACAATAATAAAATAGTGATAGTAATAATGAGAGAGATAATAATAATAATAAAGGAAAATGCATATATGCAAATAAACGAACGCAGTAAAATCAAAAAAACGGCTCGAATGTGAGAAATCCATATACACATCCCTCTCTCTCTTTCTCTTTTCCTCCTTATCTATATATAGATAGATATATTGAGAGATAAATAGATAAATAGATTCACCAATAAAAAGCACATGAAGCATAAAATACTATAGAATTTATAGAAAGAGAAAGAAAGAAAGGGGAGTATATTTCTCTGATTTATCGCTTTCTCTCTCTCTCTCTCTATATATATATATATATATATAGATAGATAGACAAATAGATATAGTAATAACACAGCATATCCTATCGCTTTTTCTCTTTTTTCTCTCTTTCTCCCCTTCCTTTATTCACTTAGTTTAACGTTTTTATTTTTCTTTTTCTTCTTTTTTCCCCCTTTTTTTAAACTCTTAGGGGGTACGAACGAACCATAGCAAAACTTTTTTCGCATCATTTTCTCTTCCATTAATTAGTTTAGAAAAGAAGAAACCAAACAAACAAACAAACAAAAAAAAA